ATATATATACCTGTATTGTTTATACATGTACTAAGAGTTTTCATAGTTGGGTGAATGCGAACGCTTGTTTGTTACATTTTGAAGCCATATAGTGCATGATATGCATTGTAAAGCCTTTTCATGAAATAAAATTGTTGTGTAAAATATATTTTTGTTCCTATTTAACAAAACACTTAATGTATGCTCCCTCGTGAAATAGCGAATTTTGTTTTCCCTCGAATCTCAATGTTTCCCTCGACTTTGTCTCGGGAAACATTGAGATTCTCGGGAAAACAAAATTCACTATTTCCCTCGAGAGCATACATTAAGTGTATAATATACATGGCTTCTCAAAGCCTATTTGTTGTGAGAACAACAGTAGGAGCTATGAGAGTCGATGAGTACGAGTGTTGATTTATAATAATAAGGTCATCATGCAATTTGTGCACTGTTGTATGTAGATCGAGCAATGCATTGTATACAATGGTTCTACTTCGACATGTGCATGGTTATACTCTAGCTCCTAGTTATACTTATATTGGCTATCAAACGAAAAACATACGTGAGGTTATGAGCGAGATTTGCACTAGCGGCTAAATCGAGGAATGCACATTTGCCCGACGCCATCTTGAATTCCGCGCAATGACCTGGGTCTCAGTTATGATGTCATAGTATCTATCATTAATGATGTAATCAAAACAAACGTATTCGCGGCAAAATGAAAATATTGGATTCTGATTGGATAATTGTTGCTCGCACATGCCTAAATACTAAATTTTTATGTATATAAATAAAGCTAGTTTACAGCAGAAAAAATCACAATAAATACACTTTTGATGCTTTTAAATCATAAATAATCATATTATAATGACTTATTTTATCTTTTGATTTCATATAAAGGAAAATAAACCGATCATAACAGCATTTCGCGTATCGACATGTTTTCACAGTGATTTGTATGCATTAATCGACACTTAGTCTCTGGTACGCAAATTTACTTTCGTATAGTGAGCACATAGTAGTTGTGTGCACGGTAGATGGAAATTCCGAAAATACCCTTCGATTCTGCATGAAATTCTGTCCTAACATCCTTAGTTTTCCTCTTTCATTCAAAAACAGAACCGAGATATTCGCCATTTAATACTCTAAAACTCGAGTCTTTACCCTACTATAGGAATTTCTGTACAGAGTAGATTGAAAATCGCAGAATACCATTGAATTCGCCATAAAAACCAGCATCTTTTCATGGTAAATATCTCTAGTCAATTTAATAAAGAAAACTTTTTATCGCGCGTTTAATACTTCCCAGCTGACAATAGAAATAAACTACGGATGTAGACAAGGGATACAGGAGCACTTTAATGGATAACAATTTTACTAAATCATTATTATCATAAGATAACCACGGATGTCCCCAGTTAATAATGATTCAAGATGGCGTCGGGCAAATGTGCATTTCTCGATTTAGCCGCATGTGATTTGCAGGTTTTGCAACTGTCATCTAATAAATATTCCAGACTTGTATATAAAATAGACAGTAAAACAATGATTACATCGTACATACCATACAATCTTTGTTGTTGTTTGTTTGCAGAACACTTGACAAATTTAAATATATATCCATATCATGTAAAAGACCTAAAACCACGATGTAGTGCCGCCATTTGTTTAATATCATTAGAATTCCTACCATTTATATAAGATATACTTGTAATGTAAATTAAACATTGCGGCATTTCGCCGACAGTTTCCGAATGCGTGACGATACGGTTTCTGGATAAAGATAATTAGATATCAAATTAGATATTAAAACATGTTTGTTGAAACAGTTTAAATAAAATACAAGCTAAATAAAGAAGTGTTGACAAGATACAAAACAAGACAATTTCACTTACAAGGGTAACAAGGTAATTTATAACAGGATTATAGCTTATTATTACTGTATAAATACATTGTGCGTTTCTACCCCCTGTGGGCTGTGGTTCTTTTGGAAATCAAACATTTATTATATTGTGCAATTTAAACTCAACATAAATTAATAATATTAAAGTTCAAGACATGTATAGTTTAGTTATAGGTTGGCATATTGCAATTATGTACCGTACATGCCCCTTAAAGATGCGGTAAAGTCCGTTCTGCGCATCAAAACATTCCATCAGTGGGGGAGCAACCTTTGGAATGTTGTTAATATTTCGCACCTTCCGAACTTTCTTGAATTAAATCTCTAGTCTGTATTCATTTACAAGCATAACGAACCAGAAAAGTGTTAAAAATTCAGTATAATATATATCTAATCATATTTTACAACTGTAGCAGTGAGTTCAAAATGTAAACAAAGCGTTTGTTTACATTACGGACTTTACATCACCTTTAACTATAGTTTCCAGGTGTCGGTTGTTGGTAATGGTAATGGTTTATTAAATAACTCTTTGCAGAACATTTACATCTGAATTACGAGTTACGTACATGATTAAAAAATAGATTATGTTATAAAACCTAAATTATATACAAATATGTAATTATTAAAAGGATATATATATATATATATATATATATATATATATATATATATATATATATATATATATATATATATATATGTACTGTTTAATAAACGAGTAGGAGTGTTTTATCACAGATAAAACACGACGCGTAGCGGAGTGTTTCATATGTGATAAAACACGAACTACGAGTTTATTAAACAGCTTCAAAAACGTCTCAGTTAGATCACGGCATTGGCGAAATAATTTTCCAAAATAACTTTGTATTAGCTGAGAAAATACAAGTTGAAATTTGAAGCGTGTTTTATCACATATA